ACTTGTTGCCATCACACAGTATCAATCTAGTCTAAATTTCTTAAGGGTTCCATGTACTTCTAGTTACTCATTCTTAGTTCCAGACAGCATCAGATATCTCCTCTTGCTTATGTTTATGCCCTATAGAAGTCATAGAATTATTTGGATTAGAAGGGACCTTAAAGATCTTCTTGTCCCACCCCTCTGCCGTTGGCAGGGACACCTTCTGCTAGACCAGATTGCTCCAAGCTCCATCCAGCCTGGCTTTGAACACTTCCAGGGATGGGGCAGCCACAGCCTGGGCCTCATGACCCTCATAAGTAAAGAATTTTCTTCTAATCTAAACCTACTGTCTGTCAGTATGAAGCCCTTCTCTCTTGTTCTGTCATTCTGGGCCCTTTTAAACAATCTCTCTCCATTTTCCTTGGAGGGTCTTTTTAGTTAAGAAATGTGCTTTTTGTGTACTTGGTGGTGGTGGTTATTCTCAGAAGCTGTCAGTGTCTCTGTTAACAGAGCTGGTGACTGTAAGAGCCACCTGTGTGGTGCTGAGGTGGATGGAGTCTGTCAGGACAGGAGGTTGCTGTAGGTGCAGCTCAGCATTCAGCTGCAATGCAGCAACTCCTGGCTCTCTGCTCAGTCTTTCTGAGGCCTCTTGTGGGTGTTCTTGCTTTACTTTTCTTGACACTTTCTTTTTCTTTCATCTGTCAGTTCTCCAGGTTATTTTCCTCTTACTGGTATGTCCAGACAGGACTCCTTTTTTCTCCTGTGTTTTGACTGCTGTGATGCACATCCCCTGAGAAACAACTCCGCAGTAGAAGAACATAGAAAAACACTGCTCTCGTGTTGTCTCATTACTGCTGTCAGACAGAAGTTCACTTAAGGATGCCAAAGAGGACAGAGACAGGGCTCTGATGTGACAGGAAGTTCAGGCAAGGAGGACAGCAGGCAAGCCAAACACGGCTTAGGAAGCTGTCCGTGGACAGCAGTGAAGGGCTGTGGCAGCAGGTGTCAGGGTGGTGTTCTGCTGCACTGACAGCACTCTCAGGTTTGAACAGCTGTAGCCAGAGCACATGTATACAGGCAATCGGCAGAACTCTTGGAGACCAGTATACCTGCATGAAATGTGTGCCTTTGTGTCTTTGCCTTGATGTTGTGTTGCTCTGTTTTCTGCTTCACCTTCTCAGAGCTGTGAGAGTCATCTTTTCAGCTGGGGACAGGCTGTGGTCTTCCTCATTTCCTATGGCCAGCAGTGGCTTTGCCCTCTGTCCAGTGAGGTGGTTGTGCAGAATAATACATGCAAATATAATCAATGGAGGTAAAAAGGAGATAGGACCGTGGGTACAAACAGAGATGGGTGAGGGATGGGGCTCTCAGGTAGGTGATTTTCCAGGAAGGAGGATGTATCAGTGCTGTTTTGCACTGCAGTGTTTCCTATGGATGCTTCTTGTTTATGATAGATTCTGTCCTGCTGAGGAAGAGGGGGAGAGACAGATCCTAACCTGTAGATAGATGCACCTTCAAGATCTTTCAAAAGCATAAGGGTATTGGAATACTCTTTAGTATGAAGAGTTTTCTTTTTTAATGTCACTATTGTAAAAAATTTGAAGTATTTAAATCACTCTCTTGTATCACACGTGTTTGAGAGCAAAATAAGCTTTTAGGTATGGTGAGATACTGCTTGTATGTTCTTCATTTATCAAAGTTTAAATAGATAAAGCATTTCTGTATCTTGGGAGTCTGGTGGGCTTGCAGCAGGAAGACAGTTGCATAGTGAGTAATACTTTATCTATGAGTGATTTCGGAGGTAGGAACATGAGAACAGGTGAAGGAATGAGGTGGTCAAGGGATGAGATCGAATGTTCTTTTTCTAGAGCTGCCTCTCTTCTCTCGTATTTGTGCTTTCTCTGTTTCTCTATTTTAGTGCTTAACGAAGGAAACTGAAGGCAGTTCAAAAACATAAGACCAAGACTGGGAGTAGATTTGGCTTGCTCACCTTGTTCTTCAAGCCCTAAGTTGTCCTTTGGAGCACCACCAAAGTGGGCCTTCAGTTTTATCCATGTAGCCAGTCAGTCTCCATGAGAGGGGCTGTGCTCAGGGTCTGGGCTCTTCTGAGTGACTGTCAGCTGTCCCCAGCTGACTGACAGGCAGCAGCTGGCCCTGTGCTCTGCCCTTTGCTGGAAGGAGGCCACAGTGTGTGGCCTGGCAGATGACAGATCCTGAATGCAGGCTCAAGAGAGAAGCATTTTCTGGGCTGTTTCTGTCCGCTGACTCTGCCTGGGTCAGAGGGTTGGGGCTCATACACGGGAACAGAGAGCACTGTTCTCTTCCAGCTGTTCTTGGGGCTCCAGGCTCATGGCAGAAGGCATTTGGAGCTTTGCACAAAGCTGCCGTTTGGTCTGTCTGCTGCCTGCTGCTCTCTCACACCTGCCATTGCTTTCTTACATGGACGCTTGCTGAATTCACCTGCTTGGGTTCCTGTGCTGGTGACTCTCCTCCCTCCTGCCTTGCTTCTCTGTCCGTACCAGTTATAGCCCATATTGGTTCTTTGCTGATCATCCATTCCTCTCCTTTCTCCAGTCTCCTTTATAGGTACAAGCATCAGGAATATCTCAGACTTGTGGTGATCAGGGACGACCCTGAGCTGGGGCTCTGGGAGCTGTAGTGGCTTTGGATGGTTAATTTGGAGATGCGGGTCCAAATTATTTTTAGAACTATGTTTTATTGTAATACATATATAAATATTTAGAAATCATAGAAATTATGCTATAAAGATGATATAAACTTTTAAAAATAATGATATATGTTGACTGTACACTAAATATTTTCTTCTCAGTGGACTGGTTTGCATGCCCTCAGGGGTGCACAGATCTCATTTTGGAGTCCAGTGGTGTATTTCTCCCAAGTACTTCGCAGTGTTCAGCTATTGAGCCAAGTGTGTCTTCTGTGTTCTTAGCACCCTTTTGGAAGAGGGTTCCACAGGCTGATACCCACAGTGTGACAAACTCACCCCTCCAGTGGTCTGTGAGCCTGACCCCTCTGCTGATGGCCAGGGTTTGCTGTTTTGGCAGGGGCCGTGATCACTCAATACCTGACTGTCCTCCCCAGGCCACACACGATTCTGCAGAGCTCTGGCAAATGCCCCTTTAGATCACCTTGGATCACCTCTTTCCAGATGAAAAGTCACAATGTATTTATTTACCTTTACTTCCCTGGATGTAGTTCCATATGCCAAGAATTTCTGTGCCATTCACTGTCCTTGTTTCAGCTCTGCTCTGCTATCACTGAGCTGCAGGAGCCAGGGCTGCATACAGACCTTCATTTGTGGACACAGCATGGCCATGGCACACTGATATCCCCTGTTCCCTCCGCTCTTATTTCTTTTCTTTGTGATTTTTTCGACCTCTAGTAACCAGTGAACCAATATTTTCTGGAAGTGTCTGTTTAAACAAGGTTCTGCTGGACAGCAGCTTAGGGCCCATTGCTTTTTCTGTGATTCTTGGATTGTTTTTTCCCCTTTTGTAATTCAGTTCAATATGCCTTGAACTACATTTGCATCTTCCTTTTAAGCATTCATTCTGTCTCATAAAGTCCTTCTGCAGTTCTTGAAGCTGGCCTTCGTCCTTGTCAACATGAATAACTTAGCATTACCAACAAACTTCTTTGATTCATTGGTTTTTCCTGGCTTTTTTGGTTCTTGTTTTCCACAGGTTGTTTTAAATATGCTGAAAAGGAGATGTCCCAGTAGAAGTTTACATGTGCCTTTCTTTTGTTTTCAGAACCAATCACTTTTGCCTCATTTCTGTCCTTTAATCAATTGTTTATCCATAATGGATGCCAGTGCCTCTTGGTTTCCTTAAAAGACTTTGTAGAGAGACTTGGCTTTCAGAGGACTTTTGCTGTATAATTATTCTTATTTTCATCCTGGTTCAAATGCCTAGAGAGTATGTGTGTCTATATTTTTGTGTATATGTGGACATATATATATTGATAATTCTCAGATGAGACTAAACTCATCTCTCTGTTTTGAATTGCATTTTACAGGCAGTCATTATTTTACTGGTGGTTTTCTTTGATGGCTATAAGCTTTTAGAATGCAGAATTGGATTTACTGGGTGTCTTGTGCAGCATTAAGCTTGTGATTTGACCCAGTGTCTCTCAAGAGCATGCAGAAGACAACATAAATGCCAGGGCTTTAGAATGCCTACAGGGGCTGTTGACAAACTACCACATCCATTTCTTTTTTTCTTTTTTTCTTTTAAAGGCTTGATCAGAGACATGACCTTTTTTTATAAAGGATTCGTGTTGCATTATGAGCTTACACTGCTCTCTGGTGTGGGCGAAGTAGAAGGCTCTCAATGGGAAATGTTTATCCTGGTGCTTTGCCTGTGCTGGTTTCTGTCTGCCGCTGCTCAGATCCGCCTGCTCGGCGGTGCAGCATATGCAGCAGGAACATGCTCGCAGCAGCAGTGAGCTGCACCACTGTGGTGCTGCTCGGCAGTGCAGCGCATGCAGCAGAGTGTGCTCGCAGCAGCAGTGAGCTGCACCACTGTGATGCTGCTCGGCAGTGCAGCGCATGCAGCGGGAGCATGTTCGCAGCAGCACGTGAGCTGCTCCACTGTGGTGCTGCTCGGCAGTGCAGCGCATGCCGCGGAGTGTGCTCGCAGCAGCAGTGAGCTGCTCCAGTGCAGACTGCGTGGCGCTGCCATGGGCTGTTCCCATCCGGGCTGAAAGTAGAGCTTTCAGCTGTAACCTGGTCTGGATATGCTATTGACCACTGAGTGTTTTCCCAGCCTAGTATTTTGCCTCCCTGTTTCCTGTCTACTTTATCCCTGAATACCTCTTCATGATATCCAAGATACACCAGTCACAGAGCTCGCGTGCCTTGTATTGCTGCTTGGTGCTCGTCGGGGTGGTCAGACGGGGAATCTGCTGGGGCCTGTGTCGCATCATGTACAAATGTCTTGGCAGCTGCAGAAAGGGGAACCAAGCTGGCTTTTCTTTGTGTTTCGCTTTTCCTCCAGCGTCCTGGGATGCCATCAGGAGCTCGAATGCCCCATCAGGGGGCTCCCATGGGTCCTCCAGGCCCCCCGTACGTCGGAAGCCCCTCGGTGCGACCTGGGATGCCCCAGACTGTGATGGAAACAACAAGAAAACGCACTGCACCACAGCAGGTCCAGCAGCAGCAGGTGCAGCAGCAAGTGCAGCAGCAGCAGCAAGCTACTCAGAACCGGGCTAGGAGGTGAGTGTTCTGGAAAGAAAACACAGCAGGACAATTTGAGGAGACAAAGATGGTACCTGTTTAGCAGTAGATATGACTTTTAAGAACAAATAAGACAGAAGATCTATGTACTGACAGTTTTTTAAGCAGGGAAAACATTAGTAAATTTTACCTTTTTTTTTGTTTGTGAATGGTCTTCAACAAACCAACCTTTAATAATATCTGGTTTTGTAGTTATTCTCCTTTTACTTTGCAGGTTTGTCAGGCCATGAATTTGTTGAGTATGTTTAGCCTTTAGAATTAATGAACAGTTCTCTTCTAATATAGTACAATTACTGTATTATTTGTTGCCTGTTCTGTATAGTTGCTCTGATTTCTGACTGGCTAACCTAATAGTTTGTATATGACACAGGTAGAAAAAACTTTGGTTTGTCATGTGAATGCTTGTACTATGGTCACTCAGAAGAGAGGTCACAAAACTTGCAGTTATCCCAAATGTTTTTACATACAAAGTAAATAAATATGCACTGGAAGTATTTCATAAAATTAGAGGGATTTCTGTGTGGAACTTTCTTTTTGAAATATGCCCACCTTGCACATTGTTGAATACATTCTCTCTTAAATAGGTTAACTAATTTCTTTTTGCAGCACATTAGACCTCATCAGTCTTGAGTGTTGAGTGGGGTCCACATGCACATAGCGTGCAGTCATCTGTGTGGGCTACCTTTTGCAGAATCATTATAGATGTATATACAGCTTCAGGCAGTGTTCTGGTGGTGTCAGGGAATCCAGCTGTAGGTAAAACATGACTCCCTGAGCTGAGTTCCTCAGGAGCCCTGCTCTGTCCAGGTTATATACCTTGGATCAGCAAGCCAGATTTGGGAATGCTTGTGTCTGGGATGCATCTGGAAAGGACGCTGATCTTGAGACTATTAATACATTACAATTGAAAAAGGTTGAACACAGAAGGAATGTGTGTGAGTGCAGCACATGAGCACAAGCAGTGCATGTACTTCTTGGAGACCTTTCCCAGCACCAGCCAAAATGCACATTCTGTGGCACCTCCCAGGAGGGTCTCCAAGAAACTGCATGAAATAATGCCACAAAATAATGCCCATGCTTCAGGTCCTAGGGTGGATATAACCTGACAAATTGCCCCTGCTGGATAATTAAGGTAAACTTTAGTCACTAACTAGTTGCCAGGGAGCATTAGAGGACCGTATTTGATAAAAGTTGGTGGCTTGACTCACAGAAGAAAGTTCCCCTCCCCTGTTCTTAACTTCAGTGTTTCTAGTTTGAGAGCCAGCAGTGATCTCCACTGCCTTGAGTCCAGTTCACACCAGTGCTGCCTGGGTATTCAGAGAGTTTCTCTGTTTCTTCTGCCGTGCCTTCCCTTCAACTAATGTGTTGATTGTTTTCCCTTTTTTCATTTCCACCTCCCTGTGGTTTTCCATTATGTGTTTTTCAGGCACACTTTTCTGGCACCTTGGGTCCAATTCTGGGGGGAAAATCAGTTCCATGTTTTCTAGCATGGGCCAAGAAAGTTGCCCTTGTCCTTTCTTGGCAGGTTCGGTGGAGACAAAAATCTCATTTCTGTAAGAAATTATTGAAGAACTGGTTGAGATCCAAATTCTTGGGGGATGTTGCTTTGTTTTTTTCTTGCTTTTTATTTGCAAGCCTATGGGGTTGTTGCAGGTTCATGCATATCCCAATCCCTTTGGGAGGCTGGGGCTTGCTCAGCCTTTGCTTCCAGATTCAGTGAAGTGTTTCAGTGCAGATTTCATTCTGTGAGCGGTGGAAGGTGTTGCAGTTTCACACCATGTGACATTCCATTCCCATTATTCCTACACTTTTAAAAGGGACATTGTACACCTATTGGGTGTAACTGAACTTTCTGTCCACTGTACCTCCAGGCACAAAGAGTTCCCCAGCCTTGGCTTATGTGGGCATGGGGAAGAGTCTCAAGAATCTGGCATTTCAGCCCTGGCTCATTATTAACAAATGTAGGAAGAGACCATGCCACATCAATGTGTGGAAACTGCTGTTATGTGGACACGGCTGATGACAGACTTGCAGTGTGAAAAGGAGGGGGGTCCTTGTGACATGGCAGGGTGGCAGCAGCTGGTTTGCTTTCTCTCATTTGTCCCTCACAGACAGAGTGATTAATCTCCTGCTTAAGATAAAGGCCTTACAAGTTAAAGAGATGGGACCTGAATTCCCTCTTGGCCCCTGTTAGAGGAAGCTGGGTGACAGGTTTGGTGGGCGTGATCAGTTCTTAGAATCTGAAGACAATCTTCCTGACAGCAGCATTTCTCAGGCACACACAAATTTGTTTTTATGGACACGAGTACAAGTATATTTTTAAAAGCATAGCTATAGAAATGTGCCTATGTATGGGTATGGACACAGTATGTATACACACTGGAGGCACACATACATCTTCCCACATCTGTGTTCATAAAGATGAAGAAATGTGGCAATGTAAGGTCTTCCCCCTTTATCCATCGCTCATGCAAATATGATAAGTAAAACAAGTGTGTATGTACATATGAAGGAAGGATGTGAATATGTGTGTGTTTTCATACATCATATGAAATACACACACATGTATGTGTTTCTTCAGCACTTAATTTTGGGCATGATGGAATAAATGCGTGTTGTCTGTTTGAACAGGTTGATGTGCCATTTGCAGGCTCTCAGCCACTGAGATGTGCACACCGTAGGTGTGTCTGTGCACGCCACATGTGAGACTGTGCTCTGCACGCTCATCTGTGCCCAGGAGCAGTGTGTGCACATGCACTTGCATGTATTGCCGCCCTGCACCACACAAGATGCTGTGATCAAAGAACTTACAGACTTCTTTCCAGGATGCATAACAGACAGCCCTGATTTGTTCTTACCTAACTGCCTCCCCAGGCTGCTGAGAGAAGGGGTACAAGGTCCTGGGCATGGGTGAGACCCTTTTGCTGATGCATGCACAGCTGTGCACCAGCATGTGGAGATGTCAGGATAATTTAGCAGGTGGCCTCGTTACTCCTAGATCTGTCACCATGGTAACGTGTTTTTTTCTTTAAAAAATGTACAGTGCCAAGAGGAGGAAGATGGCTGACAAAATTCTCCCTCAGAGGGTGAGTCGCTTTCATTTCCTATTCCCTTCACAATCAGTTCAGCATCTTAGTGTAATTAGAGGAATTTTAGAAAATTCTTTCACTTTTTGTTTAAAAATCTAATTAAAAAGTAAGTAGGCAGTGGGTGCAAGTGGAGAGCAGGCTGGGCTGGGGGCTGGGAGCGGAGCAGCCCGGCCTGCGCGGCCTCGCGCCTGGGTTAGCCGAGCCAGCACTGCCGCTTGCTGGAGGCTCCGCGGCGCTGGGCTGCCAGCGCGGCCCTTGGGGCTCCGCACGGCTCCTGCTCCTTGCTGAGCCTGCCCAAAGCCCGCTCCAAGAGTGGCTGTACCTCTGGGGCTGGCCCAGTGCAGCTGCCGGGTTATGATTTTTATGGTTGTGTCACCATAGGGCTGAAGTGAACCTGTGTAAACAACAGAGTCCGAGGGGTCGGTATTGTCTGGAGTTACTAATTCTCTTATCCCTGGGGATATGTCTGGCTTTTGGTGTCTGCCTATGTTTGATCCTCAGTGCTTACATCTTCTACTTCCTTTCTAAACATTGGGATTTCTCTCTGCTCTCCTCTCTCATTATTCCCATACTTTTCTTTTTCTTTATCCTCTTGAGTACAGTTCACAGGAAACTGCTTGGTCCCTAAAGGCTTCAAAATACATAGCCTTGTCACATCCTAATCTAAGTAGCTTTGACTTCTGGTGCTTTTTCTGGGCTCAGAATCCCTTGGACAGGTGTGTCCTTTTCCTCCATATCCTTTTCAAGTTTTCAAGCTCCACTGCTAAAGTGAGCCTGCTTGCTGGCACGCTCCAAAGTCACTTCTGTGACATTTCACAGGTGCCTACGACCAGCCATCCAAAGAGGTGAGCCCACTTTGGTACTCCTGATGTTATGCTATCACTTCTTGTCTTGTTACTCCTGCCACTTTCTGAAAGCAGAGCCTTTCATATGTAAGCCTTTAGATCTCTTATGTTGCTGTCTTGAAGGGACTAAGCTACCCTTAAACCCAGACCTTTTGAGCCACTTGCAGCCTCCCTGCTAATTATGTTGAAGCCTCATTCCTGCTCTGCTGATGGTCTGTACCTTTTTTTATAATGAAAGCTAAGTTTCTTGTACTGTCAGTTTTGTCTGTCCCACACAAACTGTTTTCACAGACAATGAGGCTGTTGCTGGAAATATATGTCCATTTCAAGATGCTTTTAGTTTTGTTTTGGGTTGGTTGGTTGTGGGAGTGTTTATATTTTTGGTTTTTATTTTGCATGTTGCCTTTATAAGATTAAAAAGTGTAAGAGGCAATCACACTTTTTTGCCAGCAGAAGATCACTGACTGTTTACCAAGTCCATGATAATTCTTTAATAGGTAGAGCCTTACATAGGTGTGTCAGAAATCTCTACAGTTGCTTTCAGAACCATGCTGTCACTAAATATTCTTGCTTTTCAGTATCTTTGTTGCTGCCAGCCAATAGCTTTAACTGATGGAGTAATAAGGCATTTGCTAGAAGTCTCTTCTGCAGTAGGGTTTTTATGAGTGCAGCTGCAGTAGTGGTATCAATGATGTGACCTCTGTCTGGGTTAAGGTACTCTGTTAGGCTGCAGTTAGTGTGTCAGAAATCCCTTACACCATCTGTGGGATGAAGAAATGCCATGCACATCATTGTCCTGTCAAGTGGAAGGTGGGCACTGGTGGCTGTGGAATGCATGTGAAACGCGGGTAAAACTTCCAGCTTTCTGGAACTACCTCTGGAATGTTTTCCAGCCAGTCAGCATCTGTTACCCACAGATTTTTTGCAGAGTCTTGCTTATGTTTTCTGGGAAATTTGAAGAGAAGAGGGGAAGATATTAAATACATTTGACTCTTGAAAATGATCTTATGTAGTAGTGGAAAGGAGGTGGGTTCCCACTGTTCCTTGCTACGACAATGACTCAGCAGTTGGCACAGGTAACCTCTTGTTAGATTTCCAGGCTCTCTGGTCAAGCCTGTGCCGCAGTCCTGGAGCATTGTGCTGGTTGGGTAGGATGCCTGAGCCACTCCAGGTCAACTATTTGAGAAGGATTTAATTTTGCAGGAATATAATTGTATGAAAAATTCAACCCAGCAAACTGTGCATGTAGGAAGATTGGATTAGGCAACAGCATGGGACATCCTGGCACTTCCAGTCTAGTTCCCTCTGTCTTGGAAGCCATGACACAACTGCCACTTCAAAACTAGTTAGGTTCCTTACCTGAAACATACTTTTGACCTGGCAGCTTGGGGGTTTTTTTGTTTTGCTAGGCTCGGCAAGGGAAGTACTTTTAGTTTGCCAAGTTAGAGAGGCTCCCCTCTTGAAATCCTCTTAGTCATTTGTTTTCTCTGATCCTGGTTAAATCAATGTTTTTCAAACTTTTTTAAATCTACCTCTCAAAAAACCAGAACTATACATAGTATTACAGATTGCCAGTATTCACCATGCTTGGATGCAGTTCCTGCATTTTTAGCTCTGTTGGAAATAGCACTACAAATTAGAATTGCTGTGCTTTTTTGGGTTTTTTGGGTGTTTGGGGTTTTTTGTTTTGTTTTGTTTTTTTTCTTTGTTTGTTTGGGTCTTTTGTTTGTTTTTTTTATTGGCCTTTCCACATTGATACAGCCTCTGGTCATTCTGTGATTGGCTAATACAAGTATTTCTGCTTTCTGTCATATGCAACTGATGAATTCCCATATTAGAGCAGGATTTAGACTCTGAGGCATAATCCTGTGTGTTGTAATGCTATACATGATCCCATCTCCATTATACGGTTCTGAGCTTCCTTACATTCTCTGTACTATCCTCTTCCTTGCAATGACAGTGACACCCAAATTTATCATTACTAAGTTTTCTTAGCGTACTTCTCCTTTTTTGTACAAGAACACTTTTTTCCTACACCAGGTCTTGCTCCAACCCCCATTTTTCAGTCTTTAGGAGTGGTTCCCTTTATGACTGTATGTCAAATACTTTACTTAAATGCAGGTTGATTGTATTGACAGCATATATTTTGTCTAAAATGCAGTTTTAACACAAGGGCTTTGGTTACGCTCACACTGACATACTGTAACATAACAAGGCTTAGTATTTTTATAGTGTATTTAACATTGACTCGAAGTCTGTTCAGCAGGCTCTTTCCTGCCCTGTTTTCCTCACTTCTGGATCTTTCCCTTGTTCACACTTGGCTCTCGCTGAAACCCTCATTCAGTTTTGGAGAAGTTCACAGGCATCTTCATTCATGGCTGGGTTCCTAAATCTCTGGAGCTGATGTTACCTTTGTGACCCGGGTTTCCCAGCTGTGCCTCAGTTTCAACCTCAGACCACAAACTGTCTGTAGGGACACATGACTGCACCTCAGATTGTACCTCTTTCTCCAGGCCTTGCCTCCTCATTACTTCTGGTCAGTCTTATTTTCTCTTAGTATTCAGTCATTACATTTTTTCCCAGGCAGATGTGAATGTGATCCACCATTCTGATTTTTTGTCTTCCTTGCCTACCCATTCTGATGCAGGAATCTCGGCTGAAAATCATTCTGGCTCCATATAGCTGTGCCCATCTCTGCTTTTCCTTGTTTAACTTGCAGAATGGAGTTCAACTTTGAAACAGCAAACTGCCTCTCCTTCTGTGGCGTGCTTGTCTGTTAGTATTGGCTGCTGTTCTTCTCACTCAGCCCCAGATTCCTGAGGACTTTTTGTCCAGCTGTGCTGACAAGGTTTTTTACACCTGTCCTCTCCTTTTCATCTTCTCTACTTCATTTTCCTTTACACAAATATTTAGTCAATTTTTGCTGCTGCTGTTCACTGACCACCATATGGAATTCTCTGCACAGATCCCATGCCATAATAGCTGTCCTGCTGTGGGTTGGTCACTGCATGGCTGTTGTCCACCTCTTTCTTCATCTGAGCCAGCCAGAGGTGAGGAACACCTGGATCTGCCATTCTTTCATGTAAGAAAGAGGTTAGGGGTGTGGTGGTCAGTGGTAGCCTTGGATATAGCAACTGTGAAATAGAGAAATTAAAGATCTTGCCAGGGATGAGGAAGGAGAGTAGTCAAGTACAAACCCTGGACTTTGGACAAGCAGAGTTTGCCTTATTCGGGGGACTGTTAGGTGTGATTCCTTGAGAAGCAGCTTTGAGGGGCAAAATGTCTCAAGGAATCTGGGAGGTCTTTAAGGACCTTTAAGAGCAGCCTGCTTTAAATGCAGGAAAATGAGCAGATTTATGAGGAGCCCAGAATTAGGTAATCACAGTGCTGGTCCCAACTTCAAAAGGCAATGTACAAGAAGTGAAGCAGGGACAAGGTTACAAAGGAGGAGTTTAGAACAATTGCCTGGGCATTGCAAGGAATGGTATCAGCAAAGTCAAAGCTCAGCTGTAGTTGAGATCTTCAAGGGACATCAAGGAGAAGAAAAGCTTCTTCTATTGCACTAGTAATAAAGGCTGACCAAGGAGAATGTGTGCTCCATGCTGAGCGGGCTGGGTGATCCAGTGATGACAGAGACAATAAGTCTGAAGCACTCAAAGCCTTCTTTGTTCAGTCTGCACTAATGATGCCTCCCGTGCCCTGTGATCAGTGAACACATCCAAGAGGAACAGGCCACAGTGGACAGGGATAGGGCCAGGGATTCGTTGAGGAAACTTGACCCGTACAACTCCATGATAACCAACAGGCTACGTCTGAGGGAGCTGAGAGAACTGGCCAATGTCCTTTCAAGGCAACTCTCTCATATGTAAGAGTTTTGTGTTCAGGTTGGGACATTTTGGTCTGAATGGGCTGACAGCCATGTGGGTGCATGATGAGGCTGAGAAGGTGGCTAATGGTTGCTCAGAGTGCTGCAGGGATGTGTCATAGCAGCTGATCAGTCCAGCATCCTTGCCACTGGAGGAGGCAGTGCCATGCTGGCTTATGAAATCTACAGGTGGACCAATCTCTGTGTGGGGAAACCAGTTGATATGCTTGTGGACGTGCTGGAGGAATGAACCAACAAGAATTTTCTGGAAGTCAACGAAGTCAAAT